GGCGAGCAGCCAGCAGCAGCAGCAGCAGTGCGGCGCAAAGCGAAAGCAGGAGGGAGACAGGCATCTCGCCCTTCTTTTGTCCCTGGGCTTCGGCCCGATATTGAAATGGAGTCGTTTGAGTGTGAATAATTTGCTTTGCCCGGGCCCACCCCTCCGCCGCCGCCGTCGTGCCGTCCCTCTCCTTTGCCGCTCTCGGCCCGGCGCGACTACCACCGTGATCGGCCCCCCTCGTGTACCCTCAGCTCCCCTCGTGGTCCCCGTCAACCCCGCTACAGGCCGCGTTATTTCACGTCGCACCAGAGAGAGTTGTTCGCATTTCGCGATTTCCGTGACCACGAATCGAGCTCTATCGTCTTCTACATGGAATTCTGCGAGGGGCACAGACACTGTTTTTGGAGGAATGTATCCTAAAAGGCCTATTTGTACGGAAGGATTTAAAAGCAATAACCTTTATTGAATCAGCTCGAAATCACGTCACACACTCTAAAAAAAAATTCCAGGAGCTACTCTACAAATTAAATGTCATAGATTTATCTTTATGATATTTGATATTATATTATATTATATTTCATAACGTAATTGGAGAATTGATTTACAAAGCATAAAATTGAGCGAGATTAATAAAAAAAAATTCTTTCGAAGAGGATAATCTCTCTTAAAATGCCCCTAAAAAATTTACTGTTTTAGGAACCAATTTGTAATATTTTTCCTTGGGTCTAGGAGATTATAATCCCTCTCAAACAAAAGACATGATAGTAGCGAAACCATAAAGATGACCTCTATACAAGCTTTATGTATAAAATTATAATATATGTGTAGTTAAATAAACTAGTTTATAGTTGCAATAATTATAAAATAATAGTTTTTATTCAACTATGTACCTTTTAATTTTATACATAAAACTTGTACAATTATCATCTTTATAGGTCTAGTTTATCCAACCGTCCAATTCGTATTCATTCTACAGTGAAGTGAAATTTCTTGGATGTTAATAAAAGATTAAAGTTTCGATGCATTTCAATCCTCTTTTCTCAGCGGAGTAGAGCAAAATGTTGCGAGTGTTACCAACATATAATACGTCACCAACTGACAGAAATAAGAAAAATAAATATATATATATAAGAGTATTCAGACATTTTACTTTCATTTCGTTCTTACAAGTAAGATCAATCTAGTATAAACATTTCCTAAATTCAGTTCACTTCGGAGTGAATCAGGATTAGAACTATAAATTAGGTCATAGTTGCTAGTATATATGTATTAACAATATTGAACAAGATATTTCTTCAGACGTAAATATGATTACACAAATATGGAATAAGGGCCATGGCACACAAAAAACTTAAGTAGTAAAACGTAAGCGAATTGGCCAATCACAGAAGAGACCATAATGTAAGACCATAATGTAAGCAGTAACCAATCCAACTAACCAATTTTTTGTGCCATGGATCTAAAGCTTTTAACTGTTAATCTAAATTTTAAGTGCTGCTATATTTTTCTCTGTGTGTTCATAAAACTATAAAGCTGAGTGTTATCTTGAATCTTCGGAATGTGCTACCAGACACTAGTTCATTAGATTTGGTTCGTCCGAAAGTCGACATAGTTCCCATTAGAAGTCTCCTTTCGCATAAACAATGTGACACCGATATGAGAGCTCGTTTTATGCACGTACGCGTCGAGGTGAGACGAGAGGTACTGATCATTATAAATTCCAAACTATTGTCGCGATCGATCGATCGAACGACCGTGCGACCCTGATCGTTTCAATCGTCCCGAGCGTGAACGCGTAGGAACAATTCACGTTCTTTATTTCTCGGATGCTGGTCAGATTGGGTACGCCAGTGAATTGATTAGCACGAATCATCGTCACGCGTCGCGTCGCTACGACTCGTCGGCGAAATCCGTGCGTGGAATGGTCGACACGTACGACACGCATGTCGTGCATGATGAGCTGGAGTTAAAATTACGACGACGTAATCGTCGCATAACACGGCCTTGCTCCGTGAAATGTGTTAAGCACTCGATCATCGGTCACGGGCGGATGAAAACATTGATGATGGATTAGACAAGTCGAAGACTTTTATCAGACTTTTTTAAAATTTAAAAAACAGAAAATCTGTACAAAACATTTTGGCAATGAACGTATTTCGTGGCAACTTACGCCCATTTTATAAATTCTAATGAGTGTATTTAAATAAAAATGTCTCGAGACACTCTAATAATAACTTGACATGAATAATAAAAAAAATCTTATTCTTTAATTCATTTCGATGAGGTTACTTTTAATGAACTTAATTGTTGCGTTTTAAAAATGTAAACTTACACTTCTCTTAAATGACATATTCACATAATTTAATTTCATAATGATTTACTATAATCTAAAGAACTTATAAAGAAGAGAAGAAGAAGAAGAGTTCAGTAAATATTATAAAAATATACTTTGAACGAACGAGTTTGCGTATTCACCGTTTCGCGGCAAAAGTGATGAATCTCTGGTGTAGCGAATGCAAACACGCGTTCAATCCATTTTAAATTTAATCGTCGATAGGACAGAAGCGCAATTTCTTTCGCTTCGTGCGCCCGGAACAAACACAACGTGCGAAAAAGGGCGAAAGGTGGAGTTTGAAGTTGAGGGGGACGAAAAAGTCGGTCGTACACCGAGTATTAAAGAGTGCCGCTTTTGTTGAAAAGGCATTCGCTCGCCGACAAAGGCGAAGGTGAACGCGCGCGAGCGGCCGGATGATGAGCCAACAATGATCGAGGATTCATCAGCTTCTTTTAGGAGGCCAATGTCACCCGCCGATCGGTGAACGTGTCGCTACCCTGGCCATAGGGTATAATTCTCCTTAGACATGCAGAACGCATACGAGACGTCGTGTATATAATCCACCGACGGTGGACGGCGAATTCAGTCAGCTCCTAAACGGCTAACAGTCATCGTACAACGATGAAGGTAGTCATAAATTTATTATTTAATTTGTTATCCAACTCTTAGAACAGTTTCTGATAGCATGAAAAGATTCCTCAATCGATTTTTTGGCGAATAATATTGAAATTAACTTAACTATAATAATATTCAATTAATTGATTTTCGAAAATAGGTTTTCGTCAGCATCGTCCTCTTGGCTACCGTGGTCCTCGCTGAACCACCGAGGTACCGTCAGCAACAAAGACAGTATTACTTCGCTCAGCAACGGGAAGAGACCGCTCCTTATCCCGCGTCTGGCTGGAAACCAGCGGGAGCCGCTTTTGATCTTCCTCAAAGACAACTTCAGCAAAATGAAGCATCAAACGCGCCTCAACAACAATATGGAGCACCAAATGCACCTCAGCAACAATATGGAGCACCAACCGCGCCTCAGCAACAATATGGAGCACCAACCGCGCCTCAACAACAATATGGAGGACCAAATGCACCTCAGCAACAATATGGAGCACCAACCGCGCCTCAGCAACAGTATGGAGCACCAAATGCACCTCAGCAACAGTATGGAGCACCAAATGCACCTCAGCAACAGTATGGAGCATCAAGTGCGCCCCAGCAACAGTATGGAACACCAAACGCACCTCAACAACAATACGGAGCACCAAACGCGCCTCAGCAACAATACGCAGCATCAAGCGCGCCTCAGCAACAATATGGAGCACCAAACGCACCTGGTCAACAATACGGAGCACCATTAAGTCCTCAACAAGAACACGGAGAACCGGAAGAATCGACAACGACTGAGACTCCTAACACCACCGAAGAGGAAGAAGTATCTACTGTTCAAGGCATTACCGAATCTGAGGTAAGTAAAATACGAATTTTCTTTTTTTTGGAATTATCGAAATATTTAATATGAAAAAAATCAAGGTAAAGAAAAGTAATTGGAGTTAAATTTTTGTTATAAAGAACAAATCCATGAAATTAATATATATTGCAAATTTGATAAATATGAAATACAATATCTTACTGATTGGAAATTACACGCTGAATGTGTACAAATAGGATTTATATATATATGGAGAAAATTTTTATATTTTCCTATTTTTATAGGGAGATAAATTAATTAATCACTATCTTAACGTCAACTAAAATTTATTAAAGAACTTGTAATCACCAAAAATTTCAACTTCAATTTCATTCAATTTTGGAATAAATTTTATCGAATGTGCACATTTTTCAACTTTATATAACAACTACGTAACATAGATTTATCATTTTGCTCGGGAGAGAAAACGCGCTGGACCATTGAGTTGGCATGTGAACCTACATAAGAGTGAAGTTCCGCGGAATTTAAATCGCACACTGAGACTCCTCTTTTTCAATCTTCGGCGCTTGCTTGTTCTCATCGTTTCTCCCGTTCAACATTAGTATTCGAGACGTCGTTTACTTTCGATCGCGTGCACGTGTGTGTCCGTACCAAATTCGAAGACTGGCGTGACACAACCCATAATGCATTCACTCGTGATTCGAGGTCGTCTGAGAGTCTACGTCTTGTTTGGCAGGATATCGGAAAAAAACAGAGAAATTTCCTCTTGCCGAAAAATATTTTACTGAGAAACGAAAAATTATTTACTTTGTATAACATATAGTTTTTTTCTATAGATTTATTCAGTAAATAATCTCTCTGTGAAATTCGTGTCGGATAATAATATGTGATAATTTCTTAAACATAATTGATATTATAAGAAGCTTTTAGAAAATTTTACACACTCACTAAGAAAATATCTTATTACAACTATAATATACTCGATTTTTATGTTGCAAATTCATCTCGTAACAAGACGTTTTAACAGTATTTTCGATAATATAAATATCTATATTTTACTTCCTCTTCCAGTATACAAGTCATCAGTGACAGCAATTGATGCCAAAATAAATTCCAACGTTATTATTTCAGTCCGAGCCCGTGAATTCAGTAAACGAGCTCGAAGACGAGGATGTTGATGAGAAGCAACCTCAGCAATCAGGAGAGTACTACGTGGCACTTCCTGACGGTCGTCTTCAGCGCGTGCGGTACATCAGTCGTCAGAATGTCGAGGCCATGAAGTACTTCGCCAAGATTCGCGCCGACAACGTGGAGCCTCTTCGTGGTCCGATTTATGCGTACGCACCTTTGCAGAAGTTGCAGATCGTGCCGACTGGTTTGGAATTGTCCGTCGCCCCAGTCGCCCCAGTCGCCGCGGCCGCGTCCACAGATGCCAAGCCACAGAAACTCGAGATTGAGCCCGTGGCCGCTCAAGTGCAATACCAGTACGACAACCCCTCGCGTGTGGTGCCTCTGGCCAATCCTTTGAGTACCACCTACACCGCCTACACAGCGAACTATCAGACACCGGACTCCAGATTCCTCCTTACCTTCCAGTGAATCAAACACAACCCGATACTACGATGTGACGATCCTTGTAAATTGCATTGTACATGTTGCATAGATTAGTGTGTACTGACAATTAGGTTAAGCTGTTGACGCAAATAAAATTGATGGTAACGAAATTTTTTACCATGTTTAAAAAATTCCTAAAGAAAGCACAAAGGTATCAGAAATAATCATTGAATGACATTGAATGATCGATAATTAATAATTTCACAAGAATTCTTCTTGTATGTGCGAAAGTTGTTTCAACACAGACGATTTTTTCACAGCGAAATTATAATTGGACGAATTTCTTCAACATGTAATTGTGGATGTATTAGCGAGATAAAGAGAAAGAAGCGAGAGGAAGGGGGAGAGAGGCGAAGGGGAGAGAGAAAAACAGAGAGAGACCCGTCGGCATGTAGACGTGCCTAACCGCAAAATTCCAGAAATTTAATATCTCGCTTGGCGCAACCGGTAACAGGGTTGGGCGTTTCATAAGTTCACTCCGACGCAACCAATCCCTCAGAATTCTCCCAAAATTCTACAACCAACGTTCCAACCCACACGGACCTCCTCTTTCCCCGACACTCTCTAACTCTTCCTCTTCTTCCCTCTTTACTATGACGACCGGCGAGCGTCTTGGATGTTCTTTGTCAGTGGCCCACAATTTTGAGGGAATACGAAAATCTCCGTGAAATATTCACACGTTTTGGATTACGATTTTGTTTAGGATTGGAGATATATGTAATTCTACGGTCTTGCACGTAGAGAACGATTTTGCTGAAAAATCTAAAAACTTTAATAATGTAACAAAATTATTTTCAGATCTGTGTCTAGTTAAATTTTTAGATTTTTTAGCAAAATCGTTCTCTTCGTGTGCGAATTTGCGAAAATTCCTTTTCTTTTGTGCAACTACGATAAAATCACATGGAATATTTGATATTTATTTACACGTTGAATTCATTAAAAACGTATAAGATGAATATATAAGATAAAAATTATGATTTCTTGGTGGTGTAAAGTAAATCATGTAAAAGACTATATATAAAGTAATTGGCGAGGCATCTTGGAAACAATGAAAATCGCAACTTCAACTTGCGCCAGCTGTGCTACGAGCTACTCCACATCGAACGTAATTATGCGAACCAGGTTGGCGGGAACTTTTAATTAAGGTCCACCGCCAACACAAACCACCCTTAAGAATTTAGTTGAGCTACCGTCCGACGGCGAACAAAGGGATACCCTCCAGCATAGCCGGTGGAGTAAATAGCCCGAAGAAGTATGAACGTCCTCACCGAGAGGCCGAGACTTCGATAGACGTAATCGGCTGATTAATTAATCCGGTCAAGTGGTCAAGCCCAATTAAATCTCACCGAGCCGATCGGCTCGAGAACATCATGACGATCGAGGCAATCTCTACATAAACGAGTTTCTTCGTAGAGAAACTTGGCTCGCGAGATGCGTCTAATCCCTTTGCGCGCTCCTTTGGCCTTCTCCACCACCGTTCCCTACCGGAAGCGCGAGGGAATCGCTTTGGAAAACAAAGTTTCTCCCGGTTTTCCATTCGCTGCTCCCCGCACCATCGCCATCCGTCGTTTTCTCGCTCCTCTGCACCCCGCCGAGCACGGAAGCGTCCCCGAGAGCCAAACAGCCGGTGCACCCTCCTTCCCACGGGATATTAATTTTTCGGGAAGTTGCGCCGTGCCGTTCCTTTTTTCCCTCTATCCGTCTCTCTCCCTCCCTTTCTCACTATTTTTCGCGAAATGCTTCGTTTTTCCGTAATGACTTGGATTTCGCATGATTACTGCAAATCTTTATCCTAATTTTTAACTCTAAACAAACGAGATTACCTTCTAATTATTTAGACTCTAAAGCGTTTCAATTCTCTTTTCATAATATTTTGAAGACGATTTTCTCCTAATTGATTTGAAGAACGTTTTTCGATAAAAAGTTGAAAAATCGATAATTCTTAATTTATAAATTGATCTTGTAAAAGATTAAAAGCTTGTTCTATTAAAATTTATGTTTAAGTCATTAAATTGTTCACTATATTCAATCTCTTCCGCAAGGAAAACTCTAAATAATCCTTTAACTTGCACGCGATATCGAAATGAAAAATTTCTCTTCTTAATTTTTTCACCACTCAATGTTGCATTGTATAAATAGATAAGCCTCTTGTATCAACTGGATATTTTGTGAGTTCTCTTGGTAATCGCATAATTTGTTCCACGCGCTTTAGCAACGTTGATAGAGAAGAGATTATCTTACACAATTTAGCGAGAACATAATACATATCAAAATATCGATCGGCAGTTCTGCAATTCTCTTTAATTTCGTCCAAAATCCTATCATTTTCACCGAAACAATCATTTCGAACGATAAAACAAGATAAATTGATTTTTTCGTGAAGCATAACATTTGAAACAAGAAAATAATAAACAAACAAATTACTCAGTTTATAGAACTGGATATATGTGTATCTATATAAATTCTAATAAAATATCATATTATTAAACACTAAGATCTAACTTAGATCGAAAGGCATTTCCCTATTTAATTGTATTTATATATCGATTTAGTGTTACTTATTGTTGTCCAAATAAGTTGTCTGATACATATATTATTATTATAGTATTTTTTTGACAGACACCTCTTTCTATCTTTCATCGACAACCTGTTCGCGGTGTAATAGAAAAGAAGTTATTCACCGTGAATGAACTCGACTGATCCGCGAGGAACAAAGATTCTAGCAGTCATGAGAGACGATAATAATTTCGGAGCACCTGAAGAGAATGCGACGGAAAAGACAGAGGTGCATGGGGACGTTAAAAAATGAATTGCAAAAGGAGTAAGAACAAAGAGGGAGAGATGGCGACGGAGGGAGGGTAGGGTAAACGCTAAGAAAAGACGCTGGGGGTCATATAGGCCCCCGTGGTGGTAGACGTCGATCCGTGCGTCTATGAGGGTAACTTTCTCGCGGTTCTTATGCGGTTACGAGAGAAGGCGGTGGCGACTCGTGCGTACTTTCGCGTGTTGTATAGACACACCGCGGGCCGTCCGTTTGTTCAGTCGGTTTGCACGATGCTGGCTTAAGAAAATAGCGGGAGGCTCCCGCAGTGCCCTGGGAACGTGGCCAAGCTGATGTCTTCCTCGAGCTCGAGTTCTCAGGATTCGCGAGGGAAGAAACATGGCCAGTTCAAAGTAGTTTAATGACAGAATATTCGCTGTAATTTTGCACAGCAATGTAAAGCTATGTCCCTATCGAAGCAACAACGAGAAATTTTTTGTTAATGTTTTATGTTTCTTAAAAAATTACCGACTGTTGCTGAAAGTTTCTTGATGTTCCTTAATGGTTTTGTTGTTAGCGGCAAAAGTCGCTGTTTGTCATATATTTCTAATCAAATTTAAATGGTAAATGTCAAAGGAAAATGATAGACACGTCAATAAATCGTAATAGAAATAGAAGTTTCATCAACATAGACATTCAATTATCTAGTATAGTTGCCAGAGACATAACAACTATTAATGAAAAAATACTTATTTAATAATAATATGAAAGTAAAGCAGGATTATAACTTAATTTTCAAGTGAATTGAAGAAATATGAGTGTTTGGACTTCCACAAAAATATAAATGCAGCAATGCAAAAAAAGATGCTCAGAGAGAAATTTTGAAGGCAATTGGAGCAGATATAACAAAAATTAAACGGAAAATAAAAAATTTGATTTGCTAAAAATTCTACAGGGAACGAAAAAAATGCATTCACTAAAAAAATCAAACTAATTGTACCGACATTGTTCGTTTTCTCTATTTATTACTATTATAAGAATCAGATACGCTGCATAAGATTATCTTTCTGTCGTTATCGCTTGCTTTTTTAAATATCGGATACTTTGATATTAGATTTTTTAAGTCTTGTGTTGTATGATGGACAGATTGACTTGCGACAGTTATATTTTATTGCTGTATATTCTTCATGGACTGCGTTCCATTATTCATTACAAGTGCAAAAAACCTATAGTTCACGTTACGTATACTATAGATTTTAGTACTTGCGGTGAATAACGAAACGCAGCCATAGTATTCCATTTACAAGCTTTCGTTGGTTTTTTGTTTTTCAAGCCTCTTGTCTTTTTTTCTCGAGGTCTCTTCGCGCGACTCCACGCAACGCGAAGGGTCGCAAAGACAACAATAAAAAAATGGAAGAGTAACGGAAGAGAGGAGCAGGGAAAATACGTGGTCGATGTGTGCGCTTCTATACACGCTACCATTGACGATGATTGAAGATCCCCCGTCGACAAGCACGTCGAACTCTTTTCGGCTCTTTCGAAGTCGGCACCTGCTTTCGCTCGATCGCAACGACAACGACGACGATGTCGGCCTTTGTGATCCTTATTCCTTGTGTCAGCGTATCCCTCGCAGTTTTCACAAGCTGCATATATCGCTCGTGAATGCACATACGCGAGAGTACATGCGTGTGCGTTGACTGCGTGTAGTAGCGGCAAATGAACGAATTGCGTCACAGGGTATGTCGATATTGAATTGGGGGGGGAAAGGGGGATACCGAAAACAATGAAGCACGCTATAACGAGAGAGAAGTCGCTCTTTGATTAATATCGTTGAATTAATAGGAATTCAAAGAAGAGAGTACGGTATCCGTGGAACCAACTGGTAATGAATCATGAAAAACCGATCGCGTATATCAGCCGTTCATTGGAATAATAATAAAATAAGTCTATAAAATTAATGATTTGACTTTAAACTTTAAGAGAGTTTATTCTAATATTTTTAGTCATAATTTCATATACTTATATTAATTTTATTAATTATGATTTTAGGATGACGTAAAATTATATATATAATTATAATATATATTTATATAAATATATAATTTCACTTCATATACTAAACAGTAAAAAAATTGCTATAATATAGTATTAGGATTAAAGAAATTTTAAACAATTAAAAAAAAAATAAAAAAAAATAAAGAAAAATTTTTCTTTTCAAAATGAGCAGAGTGTGACCGTTGTTCAGTTCGGATTAGGTCGATCGCGAAATGGAATCATATGAAATTCAGCACGCATAAAGACTATAATTCAAGCGACGAGTAGAGCGCGATAAGTGTGACTTCGCA